AAGAATAAATCAAATTATCCCGACCGGTTCAGTTCTGTCAGCTACATTGAGCTGAACTAGACACCTCCACCTACAGTGTGTGGCATTATAGTAGCTGGATTAAACTGAACATAGCACAGAGTTAGCAAAGTATGTAATGTAAATTTTATTTTTTTTTTTCACATTCAAGGGTTTCTAGGACAAGATGGAATACATTACATCTGCCGGTTGAGTGTGTCTACTTTTTTTTGGGGCAGCTGCAATGAACCATTGAGAAAAGTGAATTACTCATGCAAGACTTTGCAGCATTTTCTCTCCTCATGTCTCCTTATCCCTTCTTGGAGTCTTTCTCTGCTTCCTTGTCGTCTATCACACACAGTTCCAATTTATTTTTGAGCCCCAGCTCCTATTTCTCCCCTCAGCCTCCCTAACTCTCCATCCAGGATTCTCTAACTTGAATGTTTTACGTCTTCTAGCTCCCAGTTTTACTCGTCACCTCTATCTCAACCCCCGTCTTTGTCTCCCTCTTTCCTTTCTTATAGTTCATTTGTTTTTTCCTCTTTGTGTCCTTGCATTTCTCCAGGGTCCCTTCCTTTCTTCTTTCCCTCCTGATTCTGTGCTCCAGACTTTCATATAACCATATCTGCTTCCTCCTTCTCCTCCCGCTCTCTTCTCTTGTTCTTTCTCTTCTTTTTCTCTGTTTCTCTCTGGACATGAACCTCACACGCTGCTTATTGATTTCTGAAAAGCAGCACAAACTGTACAGCTAAAGGGTAGGTGGGAAATCTGTAGACACTTTGTGACACACACAAAAAAAGTTAATGCATACAATCACAATGCAGATCAAGCATGAATAGCTGCAAGTATGCAGGTTGTGTGATATTTGGATGGTTCTAAAGTGATTAACACCACACTTGTGGTGGAGAGAAAGCAAATGAGAAAAGGCAGTACAAAAGTGCCTGTAGATGGCAGAAGAGGGCTGTAAGGGAGCACAAAACGGTTTTCACAAACACATAAACATGTTATATGCAGGCACACAACCACTGCCACTCACACATACTCCTATTAACACTCTCACGCATGCATTTTTTACAGCTTCCCCGCTAAGAATATTGCTCTGCCTGTGCAAAAAAATTCCCTGCAAGGAGACAGGAAAGCCACATACATTGTTCCGAATCTATTAGAAAGCCCGGAGATCTCTCTTGGAGCTGCACCCAGATTCAAAACAAATGATCTAGGAATCAGAAGAAAGGGTAATTTTATTATTTTTGACAAGACAGACGAGGAATGCAGCTGACCGAAAAACAAGATTCTAAAATGTGATTTGCATATCTTCTGAGGAGCTGCTTTGAGTTTTGTTCCAAAACTCCATGACATCTCATATTTCTCTAACATATTGAATGGCTTTTGTGTGTGTGTGCGCGCACTTAACTGCATCAGAATACTTGATTTAAAATACATAAAGCAAATAGTTTTTATTTTGTTGTTGTTGTGAAAGGACAGTTACTTGGACAGCAAAATATTCATACAACTCTAGTGCAGCTGTTCAGTTATTAGTCTGCATAAACTCAAAGGTACACCTCATCACAATCAGTTGCAATTTATTTCCATAATTCTACTAAAAATGTGACGCGTACATGTGCCATTATTGCATTCCAAGTGACATACTTCAAATCCCTTATTTTAATAATTAGGGCTTACAGTTCAGGGATTTTCAGAAAATTTACTATTACACAAGGTCAAAATTAGAATATAGAAAAAAAATAATGTGTTAATAATGGAAGACAGTTGTCCAGAAGGCAGCTATTGTCAACTTTCAGAAGAGTAAGTACAAAACAAAACAAAGCTGGCTGTTCAGAGTGTTGTATCCAAAAGCAAAGCTTGTGCACGACAAGCTGACCAGCTTTATGGAGAGGCTGACTCCATTTTCAGGCAGAACACCTGTGTAGCATTTCAATTTCATGTTTAAATTTTGAATTGCTGGAATAAATTGGTCTAATTTACTGAGCTGCACTTGTATATTTTTTAGTTCAGCTTTGGATATTCAGATTCATAACCAACTTGGTGCTCAGTATTAATCTACTGACAATGTATCTCTTTGGTATTCTAATTTTAGATGATAATGTACATTTGTGAAGCTGATATTTCATCAGACGTAGATAAAGGATATAAATATTTTCAATGACAGCAACTTGGTCATCACCAGTCATAGACACAGAATTCATAATGTGACCGAAATTCCCCCTTCATCTGAACTGGACTGTTCAAAGACTCTACCAATTAACTAACAGGAGTCTTGGCTGAAGCAACCTCAGACTCAAGAACTGAACATTATCTAAAGTCTGAACACGACCTGTTTATCACCTCGGAGGGGAAAAACCATATTCTGTGAAGCAGGAAACGGATGATCTGAGATAGGATGAGAAGCAGTTGCCTTTTTTAAATGGTTAAAGTGAGGATCCTTACGGGCGAAAAATAACAAACCCAGACAGAACACTCGTTGGTAGAAATCTGCTTCTGAACGGTCCCGCATTAGATTTGATAAATTACTCTGCAGACATTTCTGTCTCTACTCATTGAAGTGCTTTCATATTTTAATATGGTGTTCCTTTCTACTTTCTCCTTCTTCAGTAAGTTGAGAAAGGACATCTGATGAATTAAACACGTCTTGCCATGAAATTATCGACTGTAAAAGTAGCCGATGAAACATACTTAAGTGGTGTGACCTAAACCTGTCTGAACTTGTTTCCAATGAAACTTGGAGAAGAGAATTTGGTCATTTGTTGCCATATGCTGAAAAAAAAACCTATATTTAAATCTATTTAAAGAATAGATGTATTGTCTCAGTGTGGTTGACATTCAAAATGAACAGAAACTAGTTCTGTTCATTTGAACTGATCTTACTTTAACTCCTGAACAGATGAATGTAAAACAACTTTAAACAGGAACTAAATGTAAGCAGCTCACTAAATGTGCAATCTTCTTTCAAAGAAATGAGTTTTAAGAATATTATGGCACAACAACTGACATACAACAATGAAAGAACTGCCGGTGCACAATAGTTGTTCAAACAACTCGATGGAGCATAGAACATCCATGCAACCATGAGAATGGGATGGTGGCGCTGTGCAATTTCCCAGCATGCTGCATGCTTGGAAGTTGATTGGCCTGATGCTCAAACAAGTCTGATGAAAGATAATCACATTGTTGAAGAATTATAATTTGGCACATTCTGGGTCGGGACCAAGCTGTCAGCTATGATTTGTTCGTGATTACTTAAATTCCATTTGACCAGAAGGTAGTCTTAAAGTCAGAATTTGATTTTGATATGGAAGATAAGGTGAATAACCCAGGGCAACACTGCTATTCATATTTCATGCAATACCCGCCTCTGCTTGCATCCATATAAAGATGGGTGTTGTCTAATAACTACATTCCACCTCATCTGCATTGACATCAAACGGTTCTGTATCAGCAAAAGAACCAACATAGCAGGTGAAATCCATTTTGCGTGTCTACCTTCATGAATAAACAGAATATCATGCAAAATACTGATAGGATAGGCAAATGAATGACTTACCATTCATGATGGGATTTATTAAACCAGAATTAGGTGTTTTTGTGTATATATTTAGCACGTTAGGAAAGCAGGTGCAAGCTGGCAGTGTGGTGAGATTTCTTCCATACAATGACGTCTTGTATGGAAGACACCATCGTCTTCCGTACAATGATGGAACTCTACCAAGATGAAGTCTGCAACGGTGTATCCATTTTTTTTTAACATGGCCACTCTCTTCCTTCCAGGTTGTATTACTTTAACTTTTGAAGCAACATGTACCTTCACATATCGTTTAACCCTTGTGCGTGCGAGGACTGAGGCAAACGTGGAGGACTGTGGCAAATATTATAAGTTTTACGTGTGGGGGGGGGTCGGTTGGACCCCATTTCTAAACACAAGGGATAAATAATCATGATGGGTCACAAAGGAAAACGATGCCAGTCCAGTCCAGCCCTGGTTACTGTAACAGTTTGGTTGACATTTACGTGAATACAGGTGTTTCTAGAAAGGCATCAGGACAAATATGAAGCTTCTGCTAAAACGTCCATCAAACAAATCTCTAGAAACCTGAAACCTGAAGCATTAATTGAATTTAATTTACATAATCAAATGCTTGTGATTAGGTTACAGTAATTTACCAGAATAAATCAGTTTCCCCAATCAGATATTACAGTTTTAAAAAATGTACACAAGAAGGACCAAATTGGCTATTTGGGAATATGTTTGATTGCGAAACGTTACCCTTTCTTTCTTGCTAACCAAATGCAGTAAAACTACATTTGGCAACATCATGACTAAGTGCAGGACAGCCCACTAACAGCAGATCAGCTTGGTCTGCTTGAATTAATCTGAGGAGCATACCAGCAAAGTGGCAATTTACAACTCAATAAAATTCAGAAAATTTAGTAGAAAAAGAAAAAGATGGCATTTATTGTACATCGTAAACTTAATACAATTTTATTTTTCAACATTTATCAGCAGTACAGTTAATTTGTAATTTTCTGCAATTAGATAAAATCATGCAATACATCATTTATACTCCAGATGATCATACTGTGAAATCTCTGAGCCATGAGGTTGAGGACCAACACTGTTACTTACCCAGGGGGGTTCAATCCACCTTAGTCAGACCTTGTATTGCACTGATATTAATTGATTAATTGATGTTTTAATTGTGTGTGTGTGTGTGTGTGTTTTAAACTAAATTAGTCAGATCTGCACTAGAATGAGCTCCGACATGCACTGCGATTCATAAAAAAATATATATTTCCAGCAAATCTTAACAGTTGTCATACCTTGATGTTAGGATGTTATTACAAAACACACACACACACACACGCACAGTTCATCCACATAAATAAATGTAATCAGCAAAAGTTAATTTTCAAACTGATACTAATGACCAATAGACCACGTGAATTTGTGTGGGAGCGGGGAGCTTACAGTATGAGGAGCTCTTGAAGGCAGCATCTCTGCACAGCGCCGGGCAGAGGGAAGAGACGCACCGAGCTGCTTCACCGGGAGAGAGGAGCGATCCGAGCAGAGGAAAGGATGCTTCTCTCCTCTGATTTCTGACAAGAACTTGGATTTTTTTTGGAAAAAAAAAAATATATATATATATAATTTGACTGATTTTTCTCTGCAGAGAGAACTACACAGGGACTGTTTCGACGCAAAGAGCAAGCCAATGAATTCCCCCTTGTCTGGTAAGGATATACCAAAAGGAGAGACTTGTGATGATGCTTATTTGACAAGAAGTCAGTGGAATAAGGGAGTCGTGAGAATAACGAATTTCTCTTCTTTCAGGGGGAGAAGATAGACTTTTTTTTCTGCTACAGTTTGAGAGGAGAGAAAAGGGAGGAAAAAAAAGGAAAAGCAGAAAGGCTCACAGACGCATGAGACAAGAGACGGGGGAGGTAGAAGAGGATTAACCGATCAGGAAAGAAATAAAGAACAAGCATCTCTATTGATTTGTGACACATTGTAGTGACAAACGACTCAGAGAAGCACCGAGGGGATTTTTTTTTTTTTTTTACTTATTTTTCATAGAGGAAAGGACACTGCAAAACGACACAGATGATCATTTTCAGAATGAAGATCGGACACCGGCTGTGGAAAGTGTGGATTTGAAGCTCCCAATTACTTTGTTTTGGTGTTGAAATGGAACTGAAGGGAGCACATACATACTGACGATAGCCATCGAGAGCGCAGGTTGCAGAGACAACCTGTGCGCCCGTCCCTCCTGCCCGCTCTGCGTCTCTGCTTACTCTCTGTCTCTCTCTCTCTCTGTGGATGTTCGCTGAATTCATTTTTCGGATGTGAGGGATTTATCTAGTCTATGTTAGAAGGAGGAGGCAAAGAAAAACGCTTCTCTCTCTCGCTCTCCCTTTCACTCCCCCCGCTCTCTCTGTCCCCCCTCCGTTTTCTGGATGTGAAGCAGCATGCGGCCCGGTGAGAGCTTGGAGGGCTCGCGCTCGGCTCGCGGAAGATGTATTGATGCAAATAATCTCGCTAATAGCGTCACGGAACGCTGTCTTGCTCTCCCCTCGTCGAGGAGGAGGATGATGATGAAGAAGAGGGTGACGACGAAGAAGAGAGGGATGAACGGGAGGATGACGGACGGAGGAATGAAGGCGATGCGCTATTTTCTCTGGACTCTTGTGCTGTGCTCGCTCTCTTCTCGCGCGCAAGGTAAGGAGGAAGAGGATGCGACACCCCCACAAACGCACGCGCTCACATGTATGTGCGCGTGCTCAGCTCACGCGGTGACATGAACGTCCTCTTTCACTCGCACATTCGTACTTTTCTTGGGAGAGAAAGATGTTTCTTCTTCTTCTGCCTCTTTACCCTCCGCGCGCGCCTCTGTGTGATTGTGTGTGTGAGGGTGTCTGCGTGCGCGCGGGGATGTCTGCGAGGTGTCGCGTGAATGTGTGTGTGGTGTGATGCGGGGAATCAGAAAGTGGCTCACAGGGAGGATGAGAAAAAGCGGCAACAGCCTCTTCCCCTCCTACCCCCTTTCCTCGTTTTCTCCTCTTTCTCCCCCCTCTCTCCCTCTCTTTCTCCCCCCTCTCTCCCTCTCTTTCGCCCTCTCTTCTTCCTCCCTCAACCCTTCTCTTCAATACAGCCATTGAGCCGGTAGCCAATAAATATTCTTGCGGTAGCTCTTGGGCTGTGGCAGCGAACGTGAGTTGCTTATACCAAAGTGTGTGCGGGAGTTTTTGCCTGTGTGTGTGTGTGTGGGTGTGTGAACGTGAGTTGTATATAGTGTTGAGGCCTAAGCCTTACACAGCATTTTATTCCTAAATGTCCATCAACAAATCTCTTTTTAGTTACAAAAAGCTTTATGCAGTCAGTATATTAATCTTAGATCTCTGACTTCCATTTCCTTCACTTTATGTCCTTCAATTGAGCATTATGTATGAAATTGAGTATTTAAATATTCAGTTATGCTCACTCTGTTTCGTTCTTGCCTTCTGGCTCACAGGTGTAGTTTATCTTCCACTTTTTCAAAAATTTCATTTGAGTAGCCATTTTTCATTGGTCGCTTCAGGAATCCTGTAGGGCTGCCTGGCTGGTTTGAAGTCATTTTAATGTGATTATAAAAACATTTTCTCACACTGAATGGGGCATAGAGCACTGTGGTAGCTGCCCCTCCCCCACTTGTTTATGTGCCCTGCTGATCAACTGATGTAAAAAAGAAAAAAAAAAAAGTGTGCTAGCTGATCTGGACAAACTTTAATGTGTTGGGATTTTTTTCAATGTAATCCTAAGGACTATGGCACAATAAGAAAAAATGGGAAAGGTGTTTACAAAAATACAACAAAAATAAAGGAATTTTAAGAGTCTGCAGCCTTTGTAAATTCATGAAAATTCCAAACTCCTTATGTTTAAATCTGATTATCTTCCGTTGAAATGTCAGTAAATGTTTCTCATTGTATAACAGCCAAAATCATGGTACAAAAAACTAAAAGGAGTGTCATCTGCTATGCACTGCCAGTCAGCTGGCAGAAAATAAAACAATCTGGCTCTAATTAAGTATTTCTAGTCACAAAAGCCACAGCCAGTGTCTGTTTGCAGACTGTTTACCTGAGCAGATAACCTACACTGCTAGTCAGTCAGTTACAGTTATATTGCAAAGAGTAGAGCAGCAAAACGTTATACACTGCTCAACAAATGCATAAAATCTTCCAAGTACTTTATTCATTCTGTTTTTAAGTCCATGTTTCAAAATCCAAAATTTAGTGAATTGCTAGTTTAGTAGCTGCGGGAAAAAGTATTGCCTATTCTGTTTTAAATGGAGGCAGAGCATGCTTTGACATTTTTGAGTGAACCATCTATTTCGAACATATGTCGTCATTTAAGTAATGAGCAAAAATATTTCGACTGAATGTTTTCCTTGTGTTGTCCAGCCTTGATCCATTGAAGCTCTGAGTGAGAGCAACGATGTTTGGAGATTAATTCAGGCCAATGCATAGTTCTAAATTGAAGTTGGCATGGTAGAAAACTGAGTTTTCACTTTTAGTAAAAATTTTGATAACATTATTTTTTGATTGCTTTGACTAAGAACTGGGGAAAAAAAACAGTGTGTCCTACATAGCCTTTCTGGACTTTGATTGGGTCTAAATAAGGAATTTGAGTAGATTTCTGACGAGATGACCTAGCATGTTCTCAGGTCTAAAAGCATCCCAGAAATGTATGCTCATTGGCCCCGAGGCTTCAGTCCTGATTCATCAAGAAACCATGACCTGTCGGAATTTAACTTCCCTATTTCCATTTAGATTGGTGATCACCAGGTGATGGACATCAACACAAACAGGAATATGCCTGGCCAGCGAACATTGATATCCCCGTTTTGAGCAAAAAGGAAAGTAACATGCAGAATGGGTTCATCAGAAACATGAAATATATGGATTGTTGGCTCCAGACCATCTAAATTGGTGACCAAAGTCTTTTTAAAGTCAGTGAAAAAGCTAGAAAATTAGTGATTTGCTCGGGTTGAAGAAGTCAAATTATGTGTTTGAAAAGACATAACTTGACTTAATTTAACAGGAATTAGACGCTTCTCTCGTTTGTGGTATCATACATTAAGTAACCACAGTGACCGGTTTCATGGGGGTGAGTTGACCCACAGAGAACATTCAGGACTTGGGGGGGATCAGACTGCGCTGCATATTAAATAATAATGCTTAAAGAAACACTACGCGCACTTAGGAATAACCGCAAAGTGTTCCTGACCAAATGTCCATATGTGATGAGCTGGAAGTGAGAACAAGATGAGCAAATACACACACATCAAATCTGTGCAAAGCACATGCATGCACACATCAGTGTGTCAGTTGACTTTTGTGGATGGAGAGCAACCAAGCTGTCACTGTGGATTCTGCAGAGGAAAATGAAGTGAGGGAACGAAACAAAAGGTAGTGTAGAGACTTGATTTCTAAGTTGAAGTTTCGCTACGAGAGGAAGGTTTTACGAATGTTAGGCTTTCAGAAAACTGAGTGAAAATGGAAGAAGAAAGGGACATGTGGAAGGCTATTGAGAACCATTTGTCACTGTAAAGTCTGTATGATCCTCCAGTGCAGGGAGATTGTGTGTAGGCTGACAGTGCAAAAAATACTATAGATTCCTAGAATGATTAAAGAAAGCAAGACAGGGAATGGCCACGGGAGACATATTCCTGTATTCCATCACATAATGACAGACCACTATGTAGCTGCAAAAGGCCTTTTTCTTGGCGTTTCAAGAAGATCTAGTTTTGTCAATTTATTCAGTGGATCTTGATGTGTGTTGGTATGAAATGCCTCATTTAAAATATTTTATGGCATAATCATAACATTGATCACATTTCCTGTGTAGTCCAGAACATACAATACTGTATATTCTGTAGGAGAGTTTTCAATTAAAATAGCCTGTTGAAGTAAGCAAGTGAATGAACCCTTGTTGAAAAGTTTATAGAGACTTAGCAAAAACAAGTAATTAAACATGTTAAGTGTTCAGGGCACGGTGACATTTCAGAAACGAAAGCTTTAAAACACGGCAGGAAGATTAAAACCAGAAACGAGCCAAAAGCACTGTTCTGTTTTGGCTCTGGCTGGCATATTAGTCTACTCTACCAGCCCATTGGCAGGTAACCAATCACAGTATGAACCTTCATTTCTATTCTACAAAAGCAATCTGGACTCTAAAGCAATGAGCAAGGTGTAATGGATTTACATGCTGCTGTAGCCTGTGGACAAAAAGTCCTTAATTTCATAACTTGCTTAACACATTTGACAGAAACACTTGGTACCATTTTAAGAGTCGGTGCACCTTTGTCATGATTCGGAGTTTTAATTAGGAAGTCTTTGTTCGTCTGTCTTTGTGCTGTAAAGTGAATCCAACGTAATTCTTGGGGAGAGATGATGAAATGCTTCATCAACCTTTTGCTATTGACCCTTTTTGTCTTGTTAGGCAAATGCTACCCTTAATTATAAATCTGGTTTAACTGCCTTAAACAATTCTTTATCTCAAGCTCTGAAAGACTGCTGTATTTCAGTTCTGTTCTTTGTCACCTGTTCTGCTTTCCTTTTTCTTTTTTTTTTCAGCAATTCTTTTCCGCTCTCACAGCACCTACCTTTTCCACCCCCACTACGCTCCTTTCTTCTGTCAGATTTGTCCTGTAGCTCCAGAGACTTAATTTGCTCACCAAACATACCAAGTCACATGTGCACAGTGACACTGGAGGGGTAAAAACCAACATGCATTACGTATTTCCTACAGTCTCCTCAATTCAAATGTATTCTAACTCTTGTTTAAAGCTGTCAGATTTGAGATGAGAGCCACGTTCTACCTCTCAACCTGTAGCTTTGCAGTAGATTTGTGTTTCAACACCATCTGTGAGATGCGGTCTCATCAGAGTTTCACAGACGGTATATGAATGGTAACAGCCATTTTATCAGAAGATACACCTGATCGTTCCTGTGTAATTATTGATCGAACCAACAGGTTTTTAGTTGGTTTTTTCTTTGTCTGTGTCCCCAATCTAGAGGGGCTTGCGTGGCACCACACTGTTTGTGCAGACATTTACAAACAAAAACAAAAGACTACCAGGTAATAATCTACATGTTGTCATCAGCAGAGCAACCGACAGTCACCACTTCTCCTTGAGGCCAGACTCCTACATGTAAACCGAATTAAACCAGAAGGATAAAATTAGCTCATTTAATTTACATTGACAGTCTGTAGAAATGCAGTGCTGTGTTCCTACAACATGTCTAAATTTAAATGTATCAGTTATTCTCCTTGTAGCTTCTAGTAATTTTAATGCTAGTCAAATTTTGCATCCAGGTACCAAATATCAGAGCTTGATTGCAGTTGTGGACAGCTCTGGTCCTGATTATGAATCCTTGATTGATGATGTTCACCTACAAGCCAGCAGTAATACGTTATCCAAGTTAGTGACCAGTTCATCATTTTGAATAAACACTCACTGCTGTCAGATATCCACAGAAATTCAACGAACAGTTGAGACTGCTCGTTAGTGCTGCGCTTCAAGGTAACGTTTTTTTTTTTTTTTTTGTCTTTCTCCCTAACAGACGTATATTTGGACGATTAGCACGCTGTGTACACTCTGAGTCTGGCGGGCACTCTGACACTGAGCATTAGAACAGCCCAGGCTCTCTAACACACAGTTAATCCTGTGGCTTATGGCT